AATCAACACACACAGGTACTTAGAATTTATTCTTTCATGATGATAGAGACACTGGTAGGCTTCCAAATTGCTTTAACATTGTAAATATACCAACAAAGCATTACCCAACTTCTCTCTCTCTCTCTCAATTATATGAGTGTTTGTGTAGAGTGGTTTTTTGTTTTAAATGTGGAAGAACATGGATTTTTGGTGTATTTTAAAAAATGGATTTTGGATGCTGCTGCAGCAGTCCAGCTGGCACAAACTGTAGTGTCCCCAGGTACCAAGTGGCCGGGCCCCAGAAGCTCCAGGGAGCGAGTAGCCCAGAGGTGCTTGCCAGGGCAGCTTTTTGTATGGATGGGGCCAGGACAGGGCAGCTTTTTATACTGCTGGGGATGGCACAGGTGCTGGTAGATCTGGGAGGAGCCAGGCAGGATTATTTTGCCCTAAGTGGCACAATTTGCTCCATGCCAAAGTGCATGTCCGAGCACGTGTGCTGAGGCAAAAAGCCCTGGCTCAAATTTTGCACTGCTTCTATTTTGAGCTGCTGCAAGCACACATGCTTGCATGTGTGGATGTGCCCAGTAGGGCCAAGAAGCTGGACCCAGGGGAGAGAGTGGGCTAGAGGCTCAGAGGCCTGACATAGAGTACCCTTGACTGGTCAATGCTGGGGCCAGGACCAGAATGGTCAAAAGGGCCAGGGACCCACCGTGAGGAACACCCAGGCACTGCTTCTATTTTGAGCTGCTGCAAGCACACATGCTTGCATGTGTGGATGTGCCCAGTAGGGCCAAGAAGCTGGACCCAGGGGAGAGAGTGGGCTAGAGGCTCAGAGGCCTGACATAGAGTACCCTTGACTGGTCAATGCTGGGGCCAGGACCAGAATGGTCAAAAGGGCCAGGGACCCACCGTGAGGAACACCCAGAGCTGAGGGCCTGGGGTTTCTGACTGGCCTTGGGGAAGCCCAGGGCCTGTGTGGCCAAAGGTCCTGGGGGGACCACATTGGAGAGGGGAAATGATTCAGGGAGCTAGGCGGCCTACTCCGCCCTCATTCGGGCTGCCTGAGTGTAGGGGTCTGGACTGAAGGATTCTGGGGCCAGTGTGGGGCCGGTGATGTTAACAACTGTGGATACCATCTGTGAGGCTTAGGCTGCGGTGTATGGGAGGAATGGAGCTGCAGATCTTGCCCCAATGCCGGGGGGGGGGAGATGTGCATTATTTATTGTCCTATCTATCTACATTTAATGTACTACTTTAAGAACATAATATATAATGTATAACTTACCAAACATTGCAATTTTGTGTTAATTATATTTATGGAATTTAAAATTAAGTTTTACTACTGCCTTATAGGGGTATAGGTTGTCACTGTGTTAGACTAAGGACATAGGCAGATAAGGTTCTTTGGGTAAATTTAATATCTCTTATTAGACCAACTCAAACAGTTGGAAAAAACTCTTCTTAGCAAGCTTTTGGGTATAAATACCCTTCGTCAGCCTGAAGAAGCACCTGCAGTTGGTGTGTGCTCTTCCTGGATGGAAGACCTTCATGCCTTATTGTTATTTGAACAAACCTAAGGCATTTTAAAATTAATTATTTGTAATTAGTGTTACAGATGGAGCTACAAGCTGCTGTACCCTAGGGTACTTAAGCATATCTTAGTTTTTGCCAGTTCATGAGAACCAGGAAAAAATAAAAGTTGAAAATAGAAACCATCAACATTGTAGTAAACAAAAACAATTTTTTTTTTTTTTTTATTACCTGGACTTGGAAAGTCTCCTCCATACAGTCAACACTCTCCAGAAACAAAAGAAACTCATATTTTGAGGGGAAAAAAGCTCAGAAAAAAACATCCCTCTAAGGCTGGAGAGAGAATTTGGCACATGAAACCAATATGTCATTTAAACAACCAAATATATCCTTGAAAATATTAGCATTGCAAGTTTCTTTGTCTAATCAGTCAGACTCAGTTTTTGAAATATAAATATTGATATTTATTGGTTGTGGGGTTTTTTTTTAATTGATAATTTGAATTTTTTTTTTTTTATCTTGATGGACTTCAGAAAATTGAGGGTTTGCACAGCTTGAAACAAGCTTCTCTACTCTTTCACAGGTTAGTTTTATTTCTCAATTTGGTGTGTGTATTTCTAAACATAGACCTGTTCTTTCATATGCTGTAGAAGATGGAGGAAGCAGTGAGAAGCAAATGAAGTCAGAGGCTGTGTTGTACAAAGGCCTTGTCACCATGTTCCAGGAGGAACACGCTTAGCGGAATCCCAGATTGCACTCCTGGACCAAATACATGATCATGTTCTGTATTCTGCAACGTTTGAAAGTACCTTGCCAACATCAAGTCCTAAGTGTGTTGCTTGTTTTGTAATCCAGTCAAATGCGATAGCAGTGCTATCATCACTAACATTTTTACCTTTGAATCTTGGATCCAAAAGTTTTGCAGCAGCATAAACTGGCTGATGACAAAATTTCTCCTGCCTGTGGATGAAGTGTTTTACTTCTGTCTTCTGTACTCATAAGTGGAGATATACTTGCATTGTCAAACAGTTGATTTTGTTTGGGCCATTATCATAGATTTCATAGACATCAGGGCTGGAAGGGACCTTGGAAGATCATCGAGTCCAGCCCTCCGCCCAAAGGGCAGGAAGTCAGCTGGGGTCATAGGATCCCAGCAAGATAAGCATCCAGTTTCATCTTGAAGGTGTTCAATGAAGGCGCTTGAACCACCTCCGGTGGCAGGCTGTTCCAGACCTTGGGGGCTCGGACAGTAAAGAAGTTCTTCCTTATGTCCAGCCTGAAACGATCTTGAAGTAGTTTGTGACCATTCGACCTCGTCATCCCTTGGGGCGCTCTGGTGAACAAACGTTCCCCCAGATGCTGGTGGTCACCCCTGATAAACTTGTAGGTGGCCATCAGATCACCCCTAAGCCTGCGCTTTTTCAGGCTAAAGAGCCCCACGGCTCTCAGCCTGTCATCATAGGGTCTGTTTCCCTGACCTCTGATCATGCGCGTGGCTCTTCTCTGGACTCTCTCAAGCTTCTCCACATCCTTTTTGAATTGTGGAGCCCAAAACTGGACACAGTACTCCAGCTGCGGCCTCACTAAGGCCGAGTACAGGGGGAGAATGACGTCCCGGGATTTGCTTGAGAACCATCTATGGATGCAAGCCAGCGTTTTGGTCACTTTACTAGCCGCCGCATCACATTGCAGGCTCATGTTCATCTTGTGGTCAATGATGACCCCCAAGTCTCTTTCTTCCATAGTGCTAGCCAACATAGCTGGGCTATGATGCTCGCCAGCTCCTTGAGTACCCTGGGGTGAAGATTGTCAGGGCCCGCTTCTGACTCCAGTGTCCACATCATTAATGAAGATGTTGAACAGTATGGGTCCAAGGACAGAGCCTTGGGGGACCCCACTGGTCACAGGACACCACGATGAGTGACTTCCATCGATTACTACCCTCTGGGTCCGACCCCGGAGCCAATTTTCCAGCCAGTGGATCGTGGAGGACCCAAGGCGACAATTGGCCAGTTTCTCCAAGAGGCGATCATGGGACACCAGATCGAAGGCTTTTTTGAAGTCAAGATATATGACATCAATCTCTTCTCCCTTGTCCAGGTGATAGGTCACCTGGTCGTAGAAGGAAATGAGATTGGTCAAGCAAGACCTACCCGCAACAAACCCGTGCTGGCTATCCCTTAAGATGTTGGCGTCGGCCAGTCCATTAAGGATGGCCTCTTTAATAAACTTTTCTAAGATCTTCCCCGGGATAGAAGTCAGGCTGATGGGCCTATAGTTTGCCGGATCCACTTTCCTCCCTTTCTTGAAGATAGGCACCACATTGGCCTTCTTCCAGTCTTTGGGCACTACACCAGAGCTCCAAGAGTTTTCAAAGAACCTAATGCTAGAGGCATTAGGTAAGGGATATCTGACAAAAGTGCACTGTATGATTCAGATGCAGCGATTGCTGATGAAATTAAATTTAGAGTCTTCAAGGAGTTCAGCAGCTGGATCCAGAAAACGTCCCTATTAAGTACAGTGTTCCTTACTCTTCGAACTACTTTAAGATCTTCAGTTATCACCGTTTCTTGAAGAGCTTCTCTGTTTTTTAGTAAACTTTCAAATGAGATCATCACCACACCCCTCCAGTCTTACTACAAAGTTTGAGTGTTACCATTTTATTCTTCCCATTCTTTTTTTTTCCTGCTTCTTCTTAAAGATTGCAGCTGCAATATGAGTAGATTTAATGTATTTTATAACTTCTTTTGCTCTATTATAGATCTTTTGAAGTGTGTTCAACTTAATGAAGTCATTAAAAAGCAAGTTTAGGTCATGAGAAGCACATCCTATTGCAGTACTATGTGGATATTTGTCCATTATGATCTCATAATGGACAGATATCCCATGCTGCTTTGATATTACTTGCATTGTCAGTCAGCAAAAAAAATACTTTAACACTCCCAATCTTGTGTAGGACTTCACATATTTTACTACTGATCTACTGTGCAGTATGTCTGTTCTCTCCTGTTTCAATGCTTTTATAGAAAAACTGACTGAGATGTTGTTATCCCAAAGTTTATGATTCCTTCTCCCCCTACGTTTTAAGACGGAGTGCTTCGTTGATTCTTTTTTCATGCACGGATTGCAGTATACATTCATATTCTGATTCTAGAAGAGGCTTGCTCTAAGAACGTCTGCTGGACAAATGGTATGATGGTCTTAATTTAAATGCTACTTGCCAATGTTCATTTTTAGTGATTGATAATGTGGTCCCAGAAGCATATATTGCTCTTGCAAGAGGTGGTCAATTTTTTTTTCTTGCTCTTCCGGTATCATCTTGTCTACAAGTGAACTTATTGGGAGTCTTTTGGATGCAGTTGGTTGAGAGATCTGTTTACCTGATGACACTGACTGGGCAACCCTTTGTGATGCTGATGTTACAGAAGAAGCAGGAGGACTTCTGGATTGAGAATGTTTGCAAGTGCTACTTCTACTGTCATCATGATCTACCTCACTCACACTCCTGAAGGATATTTTTTATGTCTGCAGGAGACTTCATACATGTGTAACCCTGGGTGTGACTCTACCCATGCCCTCACTTGAAGAGTGAGAACTTAGGGTACCCAACAGCCAGTACCCCTACTCAGCTCCCTGGGTAGCTGCTGCATGGTCCCCAAGCGCAGTGACAATCCAGACAACCTTGCAGACCATTATAAAACTACTGAAAGAATTTAATTATTTACAAGACACCATATAACTAATACAAGTAATGTTACACAACATAACTGGGCAATGGTGGCTTAAGGGTTAATGCTTCTTGGATACATATTACACCAGAGGAAGGCATACAAATTACCCATGCTAAATAAAGAACCAATTCTTATATAATAAAGGGCTTAGTTGGTCTGTCTAGCCGTAACATTCTTGGAGCACTCAGATTGATTGTTTCACTAACCAATCGGAGTGCCACCATGACGGCAGGGACAAAGGAGGGGGATGGAGTCAGTGCTGCTGGCCTTGCCCCACCCCCACTCTGTCCATGATGTCATGGCAGTGCTTCACCACCTCTGAGGAGCAGGGCCAGTGGTGGAGGACGGGGGTGAGGCCAGCAGTGCTGGAGGGGGTGGCAGCATGGGGTGCTGGCAGAGGGGGATGGAGGGGATGGCAGGGCAAGCTTCCACCTCCCCTCCCTGCTCCTGGGAGGCAGTGCTCCATCTCTACCTCACCCCGTCATTCTTGATGGGCAATTGGCTAGTAAATAAATAACTGATACACCAACTAATAAACCATAATAAATCATGAAGAATGTATTTACTAGGGCTGGGTGAAGCTTTGGGTGCTGACTAGACTCGGAGGAGATTCGGCCCAATTCAGGGGCTGAATCTCCAAATCCAAATTGAATCAGGGGGCCAATTAAAAGGTCTGAATTGATTTGAAGCTCTCTGAATTGGTTTGAAAAAGATTTAGAGAGCTTCGGTGACTCAGGCAGTCCCTGCTGCCCCCCCAAGTGCCCCCAAACCCCGCTGCTCCCCCAGCTGCCCCATGCCATGTGGGGAGCTCTGCCACGAGCCCCCTGACCCCCTGCCCACTCTCCCAGCCCTTTAAAAACAAAAAACAAAAAAACCCCGCACTGACTGCTGCAGTGGCCTCAGGGCTTCTGGGGGTTCACAGCAGGGCCCCCATGCAGTGTGGGGTAGTGGGGAGCAGTGGGGACCACCCCCCACTGGGCAGTAGCTGGTGAGACTGGTGGGGGTTGTTTTTCTTTTAAAGGGCCGGGAGCTGGGGTAGGTGGGGATGCCATGGGGGGGCTGGGACAGTGGGCAGGGGTGTCATGACAGAGCCCCCCACATGGTGGGGAGCAGCAGGGATCACCCCTCCACCTGGCAGCAGCTGGTGAGTGGGGGCTTCTTTTTTTTTCCAAAGAGCTGGGGCCCGGCGAAGCAGCCATTGAGAGTGGGCAGGGGGTGGGGTCTGTGTGATTCAGAGATTCGGAAGCGGCTGAATCTCTGAACCAGATCTGACTGAATTGATTTGGGACAGTGATTCGAATCACCAAATCAAATCATTGTCCCCCAAAGCAGCGGAATCTGAAGCAAATACTAGCCACTTCACACAAGCATATTATTTACACACACAGTTTATAACGTGTATGCTCCAGGCTAACTATGAGGACCCTGCGTACACTACCCCTCACTGGGTTTCTCAGGGAGCAAGGCTGCTTCTGTGTCTCTGGCACAGGGACCATGGGCAGTCTCTGCTGCTGGCATTCCTTTCAGGAGCTTCAGGGGCCTTAGTGCAACAGACAGTTGCTCCTCCTCTGCAATCCATGCAAGAGAGCTTATTCCTGCCCTGATCCTCATCCGCTGGCACAGCAGGGAGCAGTGTCTGAACTGCAGGTTGTAGCAGTTTCCCTGTCCAGCATAGCCTCACAGCATCTGGCAAATGCAGCCCCTCCCTGGGCCCTGCCTGCCCCCAGGGCTTCTGGTGGGCTGGAACAGTCCACTTCCCCCTCTAGCTCAAGTGTTCCCTCCAGCACACTGAGTCTGCCCCTCCCTGGATGTATTTTTACTCATGGAGAACACCAGGGCAGTCTCAAGCAGAGGACAGAAGCCTGTGCTAGGCAGGGGCTTCCAGTTGGGGGGTGGGGCTGGGCCAGCCTTGCTGCTGGGTCCTGCCACCGGGGCCCCCAGGCCCTAGGGCCCCTGAACCCGGTCATCTTTGACAGGCAGCCAGGAGCAGATAAGCATTAATTTTCTAAATTTTTTAGGGGCCACATGGGCCGGACGTAATGGCCTGGTGAGCTGGATCCAGCCTGCAGGCCGTATTTTGCT